TCCTCCTCCCCCTCCTCCCTTTCCTCCCCCCCTTCGGCCGCTGCCCCGCAGCCAGGGCACGGAGGGCTGGGGCTCTGCAGACCTGGACCTCGCCGGGCTCCGGCGGAGGGGAGAGCGCTGCCGGGAGGAGCAGGTGCTCCTGCCGCCTGCCCGTGCGGGGGGGTCCTCGTCACGGCGGGACCCCGCCTCGGAGGTCCACTCGGCCCACTCGGCGCCGTCGGGGAGCTGGAAGGGAAGCGATCGGGCCGAGAGGTCGACACGAGGAAGCGTGAGGCTCAAGGTCCAGTCGGCGCCGTCGGGGAGCTGGAAGGGAAGCGATCGGGCCGAGAGGTCGACAAGAGGAAGCGTGAGGCTCAAGGTCCAGTCGGCGCCGTCGGGGTGCTGGAAGGGGAGCGATCGGGCCGAGAGGGCGACACGAGGAAGCGCGAGGCTCGGAGGTCCAGTCGGCGCCGTCGGGGAGCTGGAAGGGAAGCGATCGTGCCGAGAGGTCACGAGGAAGTGTGAAGCTCAAGTTCCAGTCGGCGCCGTCGGGGAGCTGGAAGGGAAGCGATCGGGCCGAGAGGTCAACACGAGGAAGTGTGAAGCTCAAGGTCCAGTCGGCGCCGTCGGGGAGCTGGAGGGGAAGCGATCGGGCCGAGTGGGCGACACGAGGGAAATGCTGAAGCTCAAAGGTCCAGTCCGGCGCCGTCGCGGAGCTGGAAGGGAGCGATCGGGCCGAGAGGTCACGAGGAAGTGTGAAGCTCAAGGTCCAATCGGCGCCGTTGGGGAGCTGGAAAGGAAGCGATCGGGCCGAGAGGTCACGAGGAAATGCGAAGCTCAAGTTCCAGTCGGCGCCGTCGGGGAACTGGAAGGGAAGCGATCGGGCCGAGAGGTCGACGCGGGGAAGCGTGAGGCTCAAGGTCCAGTCGGCGCCGTCGGGGTGGTGGAAGGGGAGCGATCGGGCCGAGAGGGCGACACGAGGAAGCGTGAGGCTCGGAGGTCCAGTCGGCGCCGTCGGGGAGCTGGGAGGGAAGCGATCGGGCCGAGAGGTCACGAGAAAATGTGAAGCTCAAGTTCCAGTCGGCGCCGTCGGGGAGCTGGAAGGGAAGCGATCGGGCCGAGAGGTCAACACGAGGAAGTGTGAAGCTCAAGGTCCACTCGGCGCCGTGGGGGAGCTGGAGGGGAAGCGATCGGGCCGAGAGGGCGACACGAGGAAATGTGAAGCTCAAGGTCCAGTCGGCGCCGTCGGGAGCTGGAAGGGAAGCGATCGGGCCGAGAGGTCACAAGGAAATGTGAAGCTCAAGGTCCAATCGGCGCCGTTGGGGAGCTGGAAAAGAAGCGATCGGGCCGAGAGGTCACGAGGAAATGCGAAGCTCAAGTTCCAGTCGGCGCCGTCGGGGAGCTGGAAGGGAAGCGATCGGGCCGAGAGGCCGACACGAGGAAGCGTGAGGCTCAAGGTCCAGTCGGCGCCGTCGGGGAGCTGGAAGGGAAGCGACTGGGCCGAGAGGTCGACGCGAGGAAGTGCGAAGCTCAAGTTCCAGTCGGCGCCGTCGGGGAGCTGGAAGGGAAGCGATCGGGCCGAGAGGTGGCCGCGAGGAAGTGCGAAGCTCAGGTTCCAGTCGGCGCCGCCGGGGAGCTGGAGGGGGAACGATCGGGCCGAGAGGTCGACGCGAGGAAGTGTGGAGCTCAAGGTCCCGTCGGCGCCGTCGGGGAGATGGAAGGGGAGCGATCGGGCCGAGAGGTCACGAGGAAGTGTGGAGCTCAAATTCCAGTCGGCGCCGTCGGGGAGCTGGAAGGGAAGCGATCGGGCCGAGAGGGCGACGCGGGGGATGGCGAGGCTCGAGTTCCAGGTCGCGCCGTCGGGGAGCGGCCCACTTTCAAGCGATCGGGCCGAGAGGTGCGCGGGAAGTGTGAGGCTCAAGTTCCAGCGGCGCCGTCAGGGGAGGCTGACTCCAGGCGATCGGGCCGAGAAGGTCCGCGGGACGTGCGAAGCTCACGTTTCCAGTCGGCGCCGTCGGGGAGCTGGAAGGGAAGCGATCGGGCCGAGAGGTCGACGCGAGGAAGCGCGAGGCCCAAGTTCCAGTCGGCGCCGTCGGGGAGCTGGAAGGGAAGCGATCGGGCCGAGAGGTCGATGCGAGGAAGTGTGGAGCTCAAGGTCCAGTCGGCGCCGTCGGGGAGCTGGAAGGGAAGCGATCGGGCCGAGAGGTCACGTGGAAGTGTGGGGCTCATAGCTGGGAGGGGAGCGATCGGGCCGAGAGGTCGACGCGAGGAAGTGTGAAGCTCCAGTTCCAGTCGTCGCCGTCGGGAGCTGGAAGGTCGACGCGAGGAAGTGTGAAGCTCCAGTTCCAGTCGTCGCCGTCGGGAGCTGGAAGGGGAGCGATCGGGCCGAGAGGTCACGTGGAAGTGTGAAGCTCAAGGTTCTGTCGGCGCCGTCGGGGCGCTGGAAGGGAAGCGGTCGGGCCGAGAGGTCGCGAGGACGTGCGAAGCTCAAGTTCCAATCGGCGCCGTCGTGAGCTGGAAG